GAATCGGAACTCTGTCACACGGCAGGAAATTCCTTCGAGGTTAGCCACGCTCTTTTAATCCAAATTACGTCGTCTTTCATTACTTCCCTTGAACAGATTGCCCTCCCCTGATAAACCCTATTCTTATTGCCCTCCCCTGATAAACCCGATCCTTAAGCCGAGGTTTTGTTTGTGAAATCAAATTGCTGTTTACATTCAGCTAGTCAACACAAACTGCAGCTGTCACAAATTGAATGCATGTGTAGGGGAGGTGGGACGTGTGTCACGTGTTGAGGGACCATCTCAGGTCACTGATTGATGTCCAGTTCTTCGCCTCATCACAGCGGTGGTTTAGTCAAGTTCCCATACACCGCCACATGGGTAACATTGGTGGCTAGGCCAAGTTCAAACATTCACATACACCGTCACTTCAAACATTGGTGGCTAGGCCAAGTTCAAACATTCACATACTTCACATCACTGGGTAACATTGGTGGCTAGGCCAAGTTCAAACATTCACATACACCGTCACATAAAACATTGGTGGCTAGGCCAAGTTCAAACATTCACATACACCGCCACATCATTGGGTAACATTGGTGGCTAGGCCAAGTTCAAACATTCACATACACCGTCACATAAAACATTGGTGGCTAGGCCAAGTTCAAACATTCACATACTCCGTCACATCACTGGGTAACATTGGTGGCTAGGCCAAGTTCAAACATTCACATACACCGTCACATAAAACATTGGTGGCTAGGCCAAGTTCAAACATTCACATACACCGTCACATAAAACATTGGTGGCTAGGCCAAGTTCAAACATTCACATACTCCGTCACATCACTGGGTAACATTGGTGGCTAGGCCAAGTTCAAACATTCACATACACCGTCACATAAAACATTGGTGGCTAGGCCAAGTTCAAACATTCACATACACCCTCACATCACTGGGTAACATTGGTGGCTAGGCCAAGTTCAAACATTCACATACTTCACACCATCACATCCGAGGTGTTTGAATAAAAAAAATACACATGTATTGGCTATTAGAAGTTCAAGTATTTCCCAACCTTGATCACTAGAGAAAAATAACACTAACAGGGAGTCATAACAACTAGGTTAATCAAAGCAAACTTTAACACTGGGTTTATTACCAGAAAGCTAAAAACATAAACTGAAAATTAAAACAAATTCTTAGCTATATGGAATAGAGAATCTGGATTAGAAACGCTTTAACATTAGAGTAAAACAAGATGAATTAATGTAAAGCTTGTGTCATCGGTCATGTTGGTCAGGATTGACGAATCACGTGAATACTTCTTCTATATTTAGATCTATGATCAATATTTCTGATGATACAACATCAAAATCTGAAACTTACACGCACAGCTCCGATAGTTCTGATAAAACTTAATGAAATTTAATTACAATTTAAAATAAAACTTTAAGTACCATCATCAAAAGAGATAACATTTTCAAACAACGGCAACACAAAATTTAAACTGTTGAAACAACAGCAATACTTAATGTAACCTTGAACACATAAGATTCTCTTCAGGTCCTCCTGTTGCTAAGGACGCGTCTAAAGTAAACAAATATATTTCTCTGTGATTCACGACAAGACCCCCTCCCCACCCCACCGCACTGAGTATATCAACTCCGCCCCCCCCCCCCCCCCCCTCACCTCGATTACCACAGTAAAACATCTCCCGGCCACATAGAGGGATAATCTAGTGTCGCACAGCGCATGCGTGGTGGACAAAACGGAAATGATTTGCAGTTAGGGCCCAAATGATGGAGTAGTGAGGACAGCTAGAGCTCTGTCCTTCATGGGCCCGTCAGTTTACGATGTAATAAATTACTGCGTGTGATATCCTCACCGTATGATTACTGTTCTAATTTGTCCGGAGCTATTAACTTGATGGCTGTATGTCGATCATGGTATGGGAGGTTGGTTTAACTCTAGCTATGGGCTTGTTAGACGGGTTGGTTTAACTCTAGATTCTAGAGAAGTTGGTTTAACTCTAGATTATAGAGAGGTTGGTTTAACTCTAGATTTTGGAGAAGTTGGTTTAACTCTAGATTCTAGAGAGGTTGGTTTAACTCTAGATTATGGAGACGTTGGTTTAACTCTAGATTTTAGAGAGGGTGGTTTAACTCTAGATTCTAGAGAAGTTGGTTTAACTGTAGATTCTAGAGAGGTGGGTTTAACTCTAGATTCTAGAGAGGTTGGTTTAACTCTAGATTCTAGAGAGGTTGGTATAACTCTAGATTATAGAGACGTTGGTTTAACTCTAGATTTTAGAGAGGGTGGTTTAACTCTAGATTATAGAGACGTTGGTTTAACTCTAGATTCTAAAGAAGTTGGTTTAACTCTAGATTTTAGAGAGGGTGGTTTAACTCTAGATTCTAGAGAAGTTGGTTTAACTCTAGCTATTGATAAATTGGTTGGTATAACTAGCGTCTAAGTTACTTTGATCATTGAGTCCCCCAAACTAGTGAATTAAGTCACCACATTCAGTAGACATCTCTATAAACATTGATACTGTCATCTAATACGTTCAACATCGGCTGGACAGAGCCTTAAATTGTTGGAGCTTAGGTGGTTGGAGCTTAGATGGTTGGAGCTTAACCTTAGAAAAAAAACCTCCTCTACCTTGTAGATTTGTAGCTAAGCTCAACTGATGTTACCATAATCACCAAAACATTAAGCTCAACTTTATTTTACCATCATCACCAACGATTTTAAACTCAACTGATGTCATAATCATCACTAATGACTTAATGATTAGTTGATATTACCGCCGCCATCACCACCACCACCACCACCACCACCACCGCCACCACCACCGCCACCACCACCACCACCGCCACCACCACCAGCACCACCGAGCACACGACATTACAGCTACCAGCAGCCATGCTGTGATTATTACGACTTCTCTTGGCATCAAATTTCTCTCACCATTAAAACCAGCCGCGACATCCAGAACTTTCCTTATACCTCCCACAACCTAGAACGTTCCTTATACCTCCCACATCTCTGGTCTCTAGACCCCCTGCTGTCATCATACTTTTACAGTCCTCATGTTTGAGAAATATTGAAAAGTTACAATTTTAATAAAGCCGCGGACTCTACCAACACAGTATCAGTTTACTTTCGACAACGGAGATCACTCACTAGAGCTACTTGGATGATGTTGAAAGTGCGCGTTATATTTATGTGGTAAACCTAATGTAATTATGTTTAACCGACACTAAGTTTGTACTGGTTACATTATAAACCCTAACCCGATTATAAGGTTATAAACCTAAGCCGATTATAGGCTTATAACCCTAACCTGATTATAAGGTTATAAACTTAACCCGATTATAAGGTTATAAGCCTAACCCGATTATACGGTTATCAACCTCATCCTATTCAGTATTGCCCACGGTACTAATACTTCCACTGTCACAACAGACACTAAGTTTGTACTGGTTACATTATAAACCCTAACCCGATTATAAGGTTATAAACCTAAGCCGATTATAGGCTTATAACCCTAACCTGATTATAAGGTTATAAACTTAACCCGATTATAAGGTTATAAGCCTAACCCGATTATACGGTTATCAACCTCATCCTATTCAGTATTGCCCACGGTACTAATACTTCCACTGTCACAACAGCAATGCGTTAACCTGTGCTATGTCACATTTTAAGAACTCTAACGTTGATAAACCCACTACATGAACAAAGCCACAACCTCTGTCCCCAACCTCTGTCCCCACACTCCATCCCCACTTCCTCCCCCTCCGTCCCCTCCCCCTCTGCCCCAGCCCCAGCCCCCCCCCCCCGTCCCACAACAAACCTAGAGGTCAGCCGAGTGCATATCGTTTGATGCCAAGTGCCCCATATGCTGATATTTGCATTGAAAACAATACGATTACCTCGGACGGTCAAACAAATCACAAAACAAAACATGCGGCGAAAATCAATAACTGTTTCAGATCAATACTTAGATTATTGCCCGAAAACACATAAACCGTTTAGACGGGCGGAACTGTGAAAACCTCTTCACACCGCTGTGTGCCTTATTGCAGGTCGCAAGAAGATGGTTAGGTTGCTATGTCAAGCGGGCACACCATATATATATATATATATATATATATATATATATATATATATATATATATATATATATATATATATATATAGCTGATATATCATTTTGTAGGTGCACCCTACAACGATGACATGTTTAGAAACTTTAATGATAAGACTTTAGCCGAGTTTCTTTATTAAAGTCTTATACCAAGAAGCAAGAATTAGAACCCTCAAACTCAGCTAAAGTAAACGTAAGCGCCCCCCCCCCCCCCTCACCATACCATTATCCCATACATTTTATACTCCGTGGTAAAACATAAGTTCTTCAACATTAAAGAATAAAGACACCATTTACATCTTCTTGCAAAAGTAAACGAATGCGATCCATTCCATTACAATACAAGAAAGAAATAGCATTGTATTTGATATAAACATTACAATACAAGAAAGAAATGGTATTGTATTAGATATAAACGTTACAATACAAGAAAGAAACTGTATTGTATCAGATATAAAAAGTGCATGTAGACACCCTGTTGACTCGCCACCAACTAGAAGTAAACACAGGCTTACATATGTGTACTGGGTGTTTAACCAGTGACGTGTATGTGTGTTAAACAAACTCGACAGCTGTGTAACTATTAGATTGGGTGTAATGTTTGCACGCAACCAATTCGCTATACAAGGCGAGTTATTTGCGTAATTTAAAACACATTTGAATTAACGAAAACAAAAGACTTGAGATGGCTTTGTGAACTTAATTAAAAGCTGTTAGCGGTATCTAAAAATATCAACAGCTTTCGGTAATGCAGATTAGCTGTACTTGTCTACTAGTTTCACATACGAATGAATTGTTTCCCCTTGCAGTGCTTTTGTATTGTAATTAGAGTAGAAGGTAGGAGAAATAACTCTTTAAAATCTTACCTTTTTGTATTGCAGATGAATTGATGCATTATCGTCCTTGGCTTCGGTTGCTTTATCCGCTGTTATGCATTCCTAAAAATTATTGGCGTAGAATGTTTGTAAAAGAAAACTTATTTATTTAAAAAAAAAATATTTTTTACTTAAGAAATAAAAACATAACTACAACTGTAAACTAAGCCCTATAAAAATATTATAGTTGATAACTAACGATCAAGTTTAATTTCTTTCTGTTACCGCAGTTCTATACATTACCTCGAGCCGAAGGTTCGCTCCGAATCTTTGGCACCAGAGTTTATATTCGTGTCCCATAGCAGAGAGTCTCTTGAGGAACTCTCTGGTCTCCAGGGCTATCAGAGAGTTGCCCTCCATGTCGATCTGTGAGATCTTGGCCCAAGTCTCCAACACCCTGAGCACTCCACGGTGCTGGCACGATATCTCGTAGCTAGGGGTGACCAGACCGGACGTCCCCGTGGGGAGGGGGGCCGACTGGCGAGGCTCGGGGGTGTACAGAGCAGGGGTAGACAAGGAGGTTTGAACAGACATCTGCTGCTGTATAGGCGAGAGCGTGGCGGAGGGTGGGTACTCCTGCTTGACGCTTAAGTGGTTGGCGAAGCTGGTTGAGGGCGGGATGCTGGGGAACTCGAACTGCGTCTGCGGGCTTTGGCTGGAGGTTGACGGGTTGGGGGAGGACGGAGCCTCGAAGTGAACGGTTATGGCAGAGCCAGCCACGGGGGTGTCGGTGCTCTGGGGGGAGGTGAGTTGTTGGTGGATGCTGGGCAGGGTCGGGGAGACGAGGTCGGTGATGGGGTGGTGGATGATTCTCTCACTCTCTCCCCCCACATCTGTGGTGGTGATGGTCACCATGGAGCCGGCTTTAAAGCTGCTGGACGTCATGGGTGAGCTGGGAAATATAAAGGTGGGTCTGCTGGGACTGTGCGGGCTGTGTTTCGTGTCGATGACGTCAGTATGCACGTGCAGCTGACCCGTGGAGCTGTTGATCAGGTTGGACCTGTGACGTGACGCCAGGTTCTCTGGCACTGAACTGGACCTTGAGAACACCGGGGACACGTCGACTAAAGGCGTCTCCATGACAAAGGTTGGAAGATTGATAAGCTCCCGCTGAAAGGCCACGATATCTACCTCAGGGGTCGACGCTTCGCTGCACGAACCAGACGTCAGCTGACCCCCACTGACGATGCTGTCTTGATGCACCATTTGAACATTAGCCTGGGACTTGGACAATCTTTTCTTACTCGGCCACCGGAACAGTTTTTTTGACGGTTGTTTCGAGGGTATATCAAAGTTAACGCCTTCAGGGACCTCGGGTGGGGTGACGGCGTTAGACCCAGGTACAGCAGTTGACTCCTTCGACCTGGATTTAATATCCAGGTCCAGAGGGGTCACCAAGCTCTCCCCTATAGCTCTTAAGGCAAGTTTCGTCGTTGTTCCGTTTTTATTTTGAACCTGGCTAACGTTCTTAGCGCTGACTCTTTCGGCGTGGAGTAGATCCTTCTCGTCGTAGTCGTGAAGGTGGGTGTCGTCGTCGTCTATCCCTGAGTCGGATATCATCACACGAAGGCTGGGCTTTGGTTTAGGCTGAGTACTCTGCTCCTGTTTCTGTGGTTTAGATGAGTTGGCGTTGTCCTGAGGATGAGATGCCAACGAGACGCCTTCATGGGCAGCGTGCGGTAACTCTTTGTGTTGGTTCTGATCGTCTTTGTCAGAGACGTCAAGCTTCCGTGGAGGACACGAGTCGACTTTATCTACTTTAGGTGGTTTGAGCTTGGCATCTGAGTACAGCGTCTTCCTACGAATCATATTCCCGAATAACCGGTGCGACAAAAGCCGGAGTACAATAACCGGGTGTACAACCATGGGTAAACCGGTTAGGAAATATTCCCGGAGAGTCTGATGGTTGATTGACTTGAGGAACTCCATGGAGCAAGAAGGCGTGGCGAGGGGCGAGAGAAGGCTTTGTTTGTTCTGGAAGAAGTCGTGGTCAAACTGTCCTGTCAGGCTGTTGGCAGAGCCGCTGAGCCGGATGTACGGCGTGTGGGAGTCTCGCTCTTCGTTGGAAGCTTCCTAAAAAAATGACATCAAAATAATTATTTTAATTAACTGCTCTTTTTTTTGTTTTTTACTCCAAGCCCGTGGTGGGAAAAACTAATTGAAATTTAATTAAGGCTTGTTATATGAGGTTTGTGACTGTTTTTATACAATTTTCATCAGCATGTGAAATCCCCAGGATTAGAAAACATGAGATGTACGGTGAGGGTGGGGTTGGGGTTGGGGTTAGGGGTAGGATAAGTGTTAGGTTAGGGTTAAGGGCAGGGTGATAGTTAGGGGTAGGGGCAGGGTGAGGGTTAGGGGTAGTGTGAGGGTTAGTGGTAAGGTGAGGGGTAGGGTGATGGTTAGGGTTATGGGCAGGGTTCGGGTTCGGGGTAGGGTGATGGTTAGTGGCAGGGTGAGGGTTAGCGGTGGATAGAATTATTTCCAGGATTGAGAATGGGATGGATGTTCAGTTTTAAGGATGCTGTTAAGATTGTTATCATAATTCAAAACTAAATCGCCGCCAGTACTTCTGGACACAATCTACGGGAGAGAAGCAAAGAAACCACCGTATGACGTCACACAGCCCAAGGGAAAGAAGCAAAGAAACCACCGTATGACGTCACACAGCCCAAGGGAAAGAAGCAAAGAAACCACCGTATGACGTCACACAATATAGGGGAGAAGTAAAGAAACCACCGTATGACGTCACACAGCCCAAGGGAAAGAAGCAAAGAAACCACCGTATGACGTCACACAATATAGGGGAGAAGTAAAGAAACCACCGTATGACGTCACACAATACAAAAGAGAGAAGTAAAGAAACCACCGTATGACGTCACACAACACAAGGGAGAGAAGCAAAGAAACCACCGTATGACGTCACACAATACAAAAGAGAGAAGTAAAGAAACCACCGTATGACGTCACACAATACAAAAGAGAGAAGTAAAGAAACCACCGTATGACGTCACACAACACAAGGGAGAGAAGCAAAGAAACCACCGTATGACGTCACACAATACAAAAGAGAGAAGTAAAGAAACCACCGTATGACGTCACACAACACAAGGGAGAGAAGCAAAGAAACCACCTGTATGATCTCTGAGATAAGACCTTCCATAGACGCCGCCTCCAGATGACCTTTAGAGTTCAGCATGACTATCTTCCCCATCGCCATCAGCTCAATAAAACTGTCTTCAGGGGAGTGAACTTGCAGCAGAGAGTTTTGGTTACTTTCCAGAAAAGCTGGAACAAAAATTTTTAAAAATTAAAATTGGTAGGGCACAAGTAAAATAAACAATGATGAACGCCTATATTAAATTTGAGTCAGATTTTAAACCGCGCCATAATTTTCCAAAAGCTTATAAAAAGATGAGGTCTTTTCAAAATTTAACAACACTTTTACGTACACCTACAACCCGGGACTATAGATATAACAACTTAAGTTAATATTGCATGTGGTATTGAGTTGCACTTCAATATGTGATTAAGTATCGTATGTAGAAGACAATGGCTTAATTTGGTATTGCCGCGGCTGAGCGCATATTGTTATTTGCATAACTCTACCATCCATATCCCCTCCCCGTTGCCACACCATCCCCACCCCTCCCCGTTGCCACACCATCCCCACCCCTCACCGTTGTCACACCATCCCCACCCCTCCCTGTAGTCACACCATCCCCCATCCCTCCCCGTTGTCACACATCTACCATCCCCTGTGTCACAGATCAATAGCGGTGTGTCTGACCTCAGGTAGTTTATGAACAGCCGTGTCAAACCCATTTTCAGATAAATCGATTCAAGTTCACCATCATTTACATAACCATTCTTAAACTCTTTCATGTTTCTTCTTAAATCGGAATTTCCCGTCATCTCGAACAATGGAACTTCCCGAAGGCTGTATAAAACCTAACTCCCGCGTTAGATGTACAAACGGAACTGCCTTTTTAGGAAAGAAAAATGACTGTCAAAAACGGGAATTTCCTGATGGCTGTGAAAAATGAACCAACAAAAAACTTCCGTTTTGCTAAGATGAAATGGAGCATCAACGAACAATACCAAACAGACAGAAAACACATACTTTTATGAAAAAGTCCAAAAAAGCCTACAAAAAAAAAAAAAAAGACTTGGAGGCTTACGTTTTTGTCTTTAAAATCACCCGAGAAAAAAACGTCTATAATTCTAAAAAGACTCAAAAAAAAAAGAAGAAAAAAAACTGATAAAAAACCTTAACCCCCCCCCCCACTATTTACGCCTCCTGTCGAATATGTCCACACCTCCCCACCCCCCTGCCCCCACCCCATCTTGTGGAACTACTTACGCCTCCTGTCGTAGATGTCCACCCCCACCCCCCTGCCCCCACCCCCATTCTGTGTAACCACTTAAGCCTCATGTCAAAGATGTCCACCCCCCACACCCCCCACATACATCATGTGGAACTATTTACGCCTTCTGTCAAAGATGTCGACCCGACCCCCCCTGCCCCCATCCCCATCTTGTAGAACTACTTACGCCTCCTGTCGAAGATGTCCACACCTCCCCAACCCCTGCCCCCACACCCCACCCCCATCTTGTGGAACTACTTACGCCTTCTGTCAAAGATGTCGACCCGACCCCCCCTGCCCCCACCCCCATCTCTTAGAACTACTTACGCCTCCTGTCGAAGATGTCCACAAAGATGTCGACCCGACACCCCCCCCCCCCTGCCCCCACCCCCATCTTGTGGAACTACTTACGCCTCCTGTCGAAGATGTCCACCCCCCCCCCAACCCCATTTTGTGTAACCACTTACGCCTCCTGTCGAAGATGTCGACCCGACCCCCCCCCCCCCCTGCCCCCACCCCCATCTTGTGGAACTACTTACGCCTCCTGTCAAAGATGTCGACCCGACCCCCCCCTGCCCCCACCCCCATCTTGTGAAACTACGTACGCCTCCTGTCGAAGATGTCGACCCGACACCCCCCCTGCCCCCACCCCCATCTTGTGGAACCACTTACGCCTCCTGTCGAAGATGTCGACCCGACCCCCCCCCCCCTGCCCCCACCCCCATCTTGTGGAACTACTTACGCCTCCTGTCAAAGATGTCGACCCGACCCCCCCCCCTGCCCCCACCCCCATCTCTTAGAACTACTTACGCCTCCTGTCGAAGATGTCCACAAAGATGTCGACCCGACACCCCCCCCCCCCTGCCTCCACCCCCACCCCCACCCACATCTTGTGAAACTACTTACGCCTCCTGTCGAAGATGTCGACCCGACCCCCCCCCCCTGCCCCCACCCCCATCTTGTGAAACTACTTACGCCTCCTGTCGAAGATGTCGACCCGACCCCCCCCCCCCCCCCCCCCCTGCCCCCACCCCTATTATTGTGGAACAACTTACGCCTCCTGTCGAAGATGTCGACCCGACCCCCCAGCTTGTGGAAGAGCCCCATGTAGACCAGGATCCTGGCGGCGTGGTACTTGACATACTTGGCGTACTTAGTGCTGTGGTTGGTGTAGTACCACTCGTCCGACGGCAGCAGCAGCTGCATCAGCATATCGGCCACGTCGGCGTCGGAGAGGGCGGAGTGGTAGGCGGGTGTCATGGCAACACAGGCCAGTGCTTGGAGCAACAGGCAGAGAAGTTGCTGGAAGAATAGAGGAGATAATATAAGAGAAATTACTGGAATAATAGGAGAGACAATATAAGAGAAGTTGTTGGAATAATAGAAAAGACAATATAAGAGAAGTTGTTGGAATAATAGAAGAGACAATATAAGAGAAGTTGTTGGAATAATAGAAAAGACAATATAAGAGAAGTTGTTGGAATAATAGAAAAGACAATATAAGAGAAGTTGTTGGAATAATAGAAGAGACAATATAAGAGAAGTTGTTGGAATAATAGAAGAGACAATATAAGAGAAGTTGTTGGAATAATAGAAGAGACAATATAAGAGAAGTTGTTGGAATAATAGAAAAGACAATATAAGAGAAGTTGTTGGAATAATAGAAGAGACAATATAAGAGAAGTTGTTGGAATAATAGAAGAGACAATATAAGAGAAGTTGTTGGAATAATAGAAGAGACAATATAAGAGAAGTCGCTGGAATAATAGAAAAGATAATATAAGAGAAGTCGCTGGAATAATAGAAGAGATAATATAAGAGAAGTTGTTGGACAATAGGAGAGACAATATAAGAGAAGTCGTTGGAATAATAGAAGAGATAATATAAGAGAAGTTGTTGGACAATAGGAGAGACAATATAAGAGAAGTTGGTGGAATAATAGAGGAGACAATATAAGAGAAGTTGGTGGAATAATAGAAAAGACAATATAAGAGAAGTTGGTGGAATAATAGAAGAGACAATATAAGAGAAGTTGGTGAAATAATAGAAAAGACAATATAAGAGAAGTTGCTGGAATAATAGAAGAGACAATATAAGAGAAGTTGTTGAACAATAGGATAGACAATATAAGAGAAGTTGTTGGAATATTAGGAAAGACAATATAAGAGAAGTTGGTGGAATAATAGAAGAAACAATATAAGAGAAGTTGGTGAAATAATAGAAAAGACAATATAAGAGAAGTTGCTGGAATAATAGAAGAGATAATATAAGAGGAGCAACATGAAATGTGAATGAAATTGGACATGTATTTAAGGAACAAATCGCTGTGTTTATCAAATATTAAAGACCGAAATAGAAAAAGATTAAAAATAAACACGGGTGTTGGAAATTAAATGAAAAGAAAATAATATGCTAAATATATGATACAACGTTAAGAAAATACTTAATTCGTACCATTGTATTAATTCATTAGTCAAACACGAATCTAAGCTTAATTGATCTTTAGTCTAGCGAAATTCATACAGATTATTTACATAGCTAGATAAAGTCATGACAAACAGCCAAATGACTAACTACTGACCCCCAACGATTCGTTGGTCAAGTTATATCCAAATTACTAATTAAATTGGACCATTTAAACTCCATTGAGTCATTGACCTTCACATCTAAATGCTCAAATTAGTGGTCAAAAAACTATGAGTCACTGACCTTCACATCGAAATGCTCAAATTAGTGGTCAAAAAACTATTTCACTGACCTTCACATCTAAATGCCCAAATTAGTGGTCAAAAAACTATGTCAATGACCTTCACATCGAAATGTTTAGTGGTCAAAAAACTGTCACTGACCTTCACATCTAAATGTCCAAATTAGTGGTAAAAAAACTATGAGTCACTGACTTTCACATCTAAATGCCCTAATTAGTGGTCAAAAAACTGTCAATGACCTTCACATCTAAATGTTTAGTGGTCAAAAAACTGTCACTGACCTTCACATCTAAATGTCCAAATTAGTGGTCAAAAAACTGTCAATGACCTTCACATCGAAATGCTCAAATTAGTGGTCAAAAAACTATTTCACTGACCTTCACATCTAAATGCCCAAATTAGTGGTCAAAAAACTATGTCAATGACCTTCACATCTAAATATTTAGTGGTCAAAAAACTATGTCAATGACCTTCACATCTAAATGTTTAGTGGTCAAAAAACTATGTCACTGACCTTCACATCTAAATGCTCAAATTAGTGGTCAAAAAACGATGAGTCAGCAACCCTACAGAGACCATCTCTCACGACCCAGGGTACGGCTAATCCCATTGTTATTATTAAACTCACGTAACGTAACTCGGCATCAGATGACGAGATATGCATCCCCCCCCCCCCCCCCCGAGGAATAGACGATCGCCATAAGGTCCCAGTATCCTAAAGGGATTACCGGCTCCTGTGTTTAATGTAAGACAAGACACCACAAGACGTCCCTGAGCAAGGTCACACTTTGGGCATACGGGGCTCTGGGCACGAAATTAGGTCAGATATAGACAGTTCTTAGATATAGACAGTTCAGTGGCGTAGCGAGGTCGGGTGTCACCCGGTGCGGCACTTAATGGTGTCACCCGGTGCGGTCCGCACCCCCCGCACCCCCCCCCCCCCCCTTGCTACGCCCATGAGACAGTTCTTAGATATAGACAGTTTTTAGAAATAGACCGTTTTTAGAAATAGATAGTTTTTAGGTATAGACAGTTTTTTTTAGATATAGCAATTCTGTACAGAAAGTTTTATTTTTTCGAGGGCTTTTGCACAAACATTGCAGTTAAACGTGGTCATTAATTTTCTTAGAATCTAGGTCGCTTGTCCATAAAGTGGGCTAAATATCGACAATTCATATGTCTGCAAACTGCGTCACTTCTCTAAAAACTTGGGATAAAAATAGATATCTTCTAGAAACTGTCTTAATGTGGGTCCCTGGTTAGGTTTAAGGTGGGTCACTGGTTAGGTTATTGTGGGTCCCTGGTTAGGTTAATGTGGGTCACTGGTTAGGTTATTATTGATCCCTGGTTAGGTTGATGTGGGTCCCTAGTTAGGTTTATGGTGGGTCACTGGTTAGGTTAAATGTGGGTCACTGGTTAGGTTTAAGGTGGGTCACTGGTTAGGTTAATGTGGGTCACTGGTTAGGTTAATGTGGGTCCCTGGTTAGGTTATTGTGGGTCCGTGGTTAGGTTAATGTGGGTCCGTGGTTAGGTTTAATGTGGGTCCCTGGTTAGGGTTAATGGGGGTCCCTGGGTAGGGTTAATGTGGGTCCCTGGTTAGGTTAATGTGGGTCCCTGGTTAGGTTAATGTGGGTCCCTGGTTAGATTGAGGTATTGAAGAACGCATCCAGTGGTGTTTACTAGACGCTACATTTCAGTCATGTTTCCTGAGTTTAGAAAGTATTAATGAGAAGTTAAAAAAAATATTGTCTCGGTATCCAAACTTGACAAATGTATAACACAGCAAAAATGCAAATACAAGACAGTCTTCAGACAACAGGAACACGAGACAGTCTTCAGACAACAGGAACACGAGACAGTCTTCAGACAACAGGAAAACGAGACAGTCTTCAGACAACAGGAAAACTAGACAGTCTTTAGACAAGACCACAAAGTCGCATATCTCTCCTTTACAAGCAGTGGCGGAACTAGAAAAAAAGGGCCACCCCGCAAAAAAAAATTCCGGGCCTCCCCCATATTTATATATATATATATATATATATATATATATATATATATATATATATATATATATATATATATATATATATATATATATATATATATATATATATATATATATATACATATATACATATATATATATATATATATATATATATATATATATATATATATATATATATATATATATATATATATATATATATATATATATATATATATATATATATATATACAGAATATAACATTGGATACTCATTTCTGGCCTCATCGTTTTTTTTAAATGCATTTTAAAAAAATTTCCATTTTATGCTATGTATTTTTTAAAAATAATTATGAGAAGTAATTGCTTTTTATTTTGTTTAGTACATATTTATTAAAAGGAGCTTATGAGCATACCTATTTAACTATTTAAGAAAGGGAAATAAGTCATAACTGTTTTGAACGTTTGCCTATCTTTCGCACTATAGCTCAGGTATATAGTTTTTACGCAATAGCATGTGTTAGCTACTGTATAACATCACTACTGTAGATGATCTATTTTTATATTCACAAAAGCTTTAACCGTCAAGTCAAAAATGCAAGAAAATTATTTTTTTTAACTATAAAAAATTTATTATGGTCGGCTATGGGCCCCTAAATGGCGTGCCCCCCCCCCCCCCCCAGCATTGCGGGATCTTGCGGCACTATTGTTCCGCCCCTGTTTACAAGCAGCCGAGTAAGCTCATGTAGTTTGATGATGTCATAAACGACTTCGACAAGTGACACGACAACTGCCGGTTGTGACGTCACAATCTCTATCAACTCACTGCAGAAATGTTCTATAATTTTATGACGTCGCAATCTAAAACTAATTTGGCAAAACGACCAAAGTTTTTCTAATCAAAAAGCTATGTAGATGTATGAATTTTAAAAAATAAAGTATTATGTGCATATTTAATTTTTAAAATACAATGAGTATTTTATTTCACCCTTCCGCTCGTCTAAAATGAAGTCGACATCCCATTCGACAGAAAATATGTGCTTTAAACCTCGTGATTATCTCTTCGGTGTGAAAACATCGGTGACCAAAAATTACTACCGCCCCTTAGCTGATCACCTGATCGAAAGTTTTTGATCCTGTTTTCTCTTGTTTTTGTTATTGAATATAAAGTGCTTTAGATCGATCATAATGTTTAATAAAATTGATCATTTAACTAGACTTGGATATTCTTGCGTTGTCAGCGCAAACAAATATTTACATGGCAAGTGAACGGAATCGCTGAGTTAGAAATAGGTCAAAATGAGTTACAACATTATTCACAGACATGAGTTTTATTCAGAAAATTTACTCCGGGGTGGGGCATTAATACTCTCCGGGGGGAACGCTGTATGTTCTGTATACATTATATACTTTTTTTTTTTAATTCTTCAAGGGGAGGGAGATGGGGGTAGACTTGCCCCCCCCCCTATTCTCTCTCCACTCCCCCCCCCCATCCTGAAAGATTCCTGGAACAAACTTTGGCCCCAAACGATGTAACCTACGTAAATGTTTTTAAATAAGTTCTATATTTTTTTTTTGAAGTTGTGATAAAAATTATTATAAGTAAAGTTTTCTATGAATTATTAAAGAGCAAATAGTTATTCAAATGGCACTAGCTTTCAGAAAATTCGACCCTCTCCCTACCCACCCCCTCCTAGTGTGGTCTGTTCACTCGTGAAGGAATGTCTGAACAGACGTCCAATTGTTTACCCCGCAGCAAATAGCGCCATTAGGAACAGTGACGTCACACAGGCCTGCCGTTTACCACTGGCCTTGTACAGTTCGTGGTAAAAAAAAATTTAACTTCAATTCTTTGTTAAAAAATTTAAAAGTTTATTTCACTTGTTAAAAATGTTTTTAAAAATAAAATAAAAATATACATAGATGCGGCTCGTAAAATGTGATGTGTTATTAAAATAAATAACATAGCTGGAAAAATTTGGGTTAATTTTACAAATTAAACGGTAGCATATATAAAACATAACCCAGGTTTTATAATCGGGCTTTGTTTGGAGACAACATATCAGAGCGCACTAGTTTGCTATTTAATATAATAATGTAGGGTATAGTGATATACGTGGACACCCTGCCCACATATGTATGACACTATATCTGCTGTAGAGTGACGTCATTTATGGACACCACCTTAAAATCCGTTGTCGTCCTTTTGAAACGGATGGTACAGTTATGTAGAATTCCGGTTAGAAGGTACAGTTTACCCCCTCACCCCCACCCCACCCAGACATTTTCACCAGGCTTGTATACAACCCACACAACACACTTCCGTGAGACTAATAAAATATTAAGACGGTGTAATCAGGAGATGACTCTAGTATTAATAACCTTAATTAGAGTCCGACTAATTATCTCGCCAGTGGTTACAGATTGATACTGGTGATTAGGTCATGTCTGTCTTAAAGTCTGTGCAGACTAGAACATCAGATTTACAGGAATATGATGAGTACGTGTGGCGAGAGTATGAGGGTAAGTTTGTTGTGCTGTGACGCCACTGCTTGTGATGTTACGTTAGTGCTTACGGTGTCACGTCAAAGCTAATACTACAGTGCCTATTCTGTCACGTTAGCAATGTCACTTTAGTGTTGTTACGTTAGTTCTGTCACGTCAGTGATTTCACGTTAGTGCTGTCACGTTAGTGCTGTCACGTTAGTGCTGCCACGTTAGTGCTGTCACGTTAGTGCTGTCACGTCAGTAATGTCACGTTAGTACTGTCACGTTAGTGCCTATTTTGTCACGCCAGTTTCTATGTTGTCACGTTAGTGCTGTCACGTTAGTGCTGTCACGTTAGTACTGTCACGTTAGTGCTGTCACGTTAGTACTGTCACGTTAGTACTGTCACGTTAGTACTGTCACGTTAGTACTGTCACGTTAGTGCCTATTCTGTCAAGCCAGTTTTTATGTTGTCACGTCAGTGCTGTCACGCCAGTGCTTATGCTGCCCATTACTGTAAACCTTCTCTGCTGTGGTGTACAGAAGAAAAAAAACAAAACCCATCTGAATTGAGGCTGGCAGTAGAATCAATTGAACGTGTTCTAATGAGACATGTGATTGACGCTAGACTGCTAGAGATTCTTAGACTGGTCAATACCAGCACACAATTGTTTGCTCACTCATGTTTTTCTACACGTTAGGGAGGGAATGGTGTCCCTTTAAACTATCCTGTGGTACATTCAACTTCAGCTAATTATATATATATATATATATATATATATATATACATATATATATATATATGCATGCAGATCGCATATGTTTGTAACAAAACTCAAGCGCTAATGCAGTATGTCTGCCGTGTTGTGCCCGTAGCTCTAGTAACGGGTTCGACCAATGACAAGTCGAGCCTTTAATTACCAGAGACTAAACCTATTACATAACACACCGGAAGTTCCCAGTAATCCCCTGGGGGGAGGGGCAGACTCTGAAGATTGATAGCTGGGGTGGGGAGTGCACTTACCGGGTCATGGTTAGGATCCAGGGCCTCCACTAACATTTTGAGATGCCCCCTGGTGACTAATTTGTGCTGCACATGCGCACTGTGGCACATGAGGGTGAGTACTCTAGCGCTGAGAATCTGCAAGCAGTGGTGAGTACAGTGTCTCTGTCTGACGCTGGGCGTGCATTTGTGCCGCGTGCCGATGATCCGTTTGTGCATGGTGATGTTGTTGTGCAAGCAGGATACAATTTGACTCGGGTCAAGCGAGAGTAAGATTTCCAGAGGAGTCCGGACGACAGCCGTTTTGGAAGGGTCGTCGTCTTCACATCCGTTTGGCGGATGTTGTTCGTGCGACGGTTGGCTGGCGCGCCGCTTGTGGAGGGAGGATATCCGGTTGAGCGTGGAGGAACACGTCACAGAACTCGGCGCAGGCGCAGAGGGTGCCGTAGAGGAGGAGGGCGTGTGGGTGTTTGTGGCGGCGGCGCTGCTGGAGGTGGGCGTGAAGGAAGATGAAAGCCCTTTAGAGGAGGTTCCGATAAAACTTGCCGTTGACGATTCGTCTGAGCTACTCAACCTGCTGCATAATCCCGTGTGTGGGTGCGCGTGAGACTGAAATCTAATCGGGTACTGTTCCCGACCCCCGGGTTTTGTCGGGACCCCGAAGTGAGCCCCGCCCCCTTTGGCGATAAACTCCGGGCTGGTCGCGTGGAGGTCGGAGTCGGGACGGCAGGTGGGGGACCCGAAGTCGTAGTTCTTGTGGACGATGCAGATATCCATGATGCGGTTGATGATGGAGAGGGCGGTGAAGTGGAGGCTCTGCTTGCCTCGCATCAGCTCCAGGGCGGCTTGCAGAAGTTTCGAAAGTTCGAGAAAGATGGAATGTTTGGTCTCGTTTGTGGAGGTCTCAGACAGCTGGCTGTAGCAGGTCTGGGGATCAAATAAATAGGTTAGGGTTAGGGTTTAGGGTTTGGGTTAGGGATAAGGTTAGATTTAAGTAATTAAAAATGGATTTAAAATAGTGTCTATATCCCGAGTTGCCATCCTTGGAGAAAGTTTAGGGGAGATCACTCCCGGTTTATTTGATACTACATCACTACAGGTGGACGGAGTGGTCTAGCGGTAGAGAGATGGACTGCTAACCCATGTGTCTCGAGTTCGAATCCGGGTTCAAGTCCACCCAACTCTGATGGGTGCTTTACTCACGTTAGGGAAAGTAAAGGCGGCTGGGCATAGTGCTGACCACACCATCTCTTCATATGCCGAGGTCACAGAAACAGATGAACTCTACTTCACTTGCCCTATAAGCCGTCAGGTTTGAAAGGGGAAATTTACATAACTAAAGCCATCTCAGTCACCTCAGTCACCTTTCGTATTGACTTTACCCGGCAGTCACCCGGCAGTCACCAAACAAAACTAAAACGTGAGCTCGTCTAAAATGTATCCAAGTAAAATAAAATCTTAAGCTCCAGACAACACGACCCAACAGCTCTAAGCTCTGTCTAGCTCCACGATACTTGAGCCCTTCATCACAGGCTTGATTCAGTCCATCACACCTCCATTCAACTACTCAACTTTATACGTCGCCCCTAGATAATGCACGTGTGGGTCTTACGTTAAGAGAATAGGGTCCAGGAGGGTTATTACAATTTTTATTTTAAAGCGAGAAATTTCGTTTTCAACACTTAACACTTTATTCTATCACATAATTCCAGTTTGAATGTTTAAGTATAATGGTCCTACGCTGCTGTCTATACATTTTCATTTCACGAACATTTATTCTATATCAGTCTTATTGTTTTGTTTGTATTTAGTAGCAAAATCTAAATATGAATTGTCTTTATTTGAGCAATATATATATATATATATATATATATATATATATATATATATATATATATATATATATATATATATATATATATATATATATGTATATATATATATATATATGTATATATATATATATATATATATATATATATATATATATATATATATATATATATATATATATATATATATATATATATATATATATATATATATAATTGTTGTCAGTTTTTCTTATTACAAAACAAAAAACAGGATTAGGTACGAAACACGCTGATAACAATTTAAAAGTGTTAATCTATAAGGAAAGACTCCTCTAATCCATCCATTACACAAGAAATTTTAAACTATAGGCAAGGACCCCTTTCATCCACACATCCACTAGAAGTTTTAAACTATAGGCTAAGACCCCTTTCATCCACCCATACACTAGAAATGTTAAACTGTAGGCAAGGACCCCTTTCATCCACCCATAGACTAGAAGTTTTAAACTATAGGCTAAGACCCATTTCATCCACCCATAGACTAGAAATGTTAAACTGTAGGCAAGGACCCCTTTCATCCACCCATAGACTAGAAATGTTAAACTGTAGGCAAGGACCCCTTTCATCCACCCATACACTAGAAGTTTTAAACTATAGGCTAAGACCCCTTTCATCCCCCCATACACTAGAAGTTTTAAACTATAGGCTAAGACCCCTTTCATCCACCCATAGACTAGAAATGTTAAACTGTAGGCAAGGACCCCTTTCATCTACCCATACACTAGAAGTTTTAAACTATAGGCTAAGACCCCTTTCATCCACCCATACACTAGAAATGTTAAACTGTAGGCAAGGACCCCTTTCATCCCCCCATACACTAGAAGTTTTAAACTGTAGGCAAGGACCCCTTTCATCCCCCCATAGACTAGAAGTTTTAAACTATAGGCTAAGACCCCTTTCATCCACCCATACACTAGAAGTTTTAAACTATAGGCTAAGACCCCTTTCATCCCCCCATACACTAGAAGTTTTAAACTATAGGCTAAGACCCCTTTCATCCACCCATAGACTAGAAATGTTAAACTGTAGGCAAGGACCCCTTTCATCCACCCATACACTAGAAGTTTTAAACTGTAGGCAAGGACCCCTTTCATCCCCCCATAGACTAGAAGTTTTAAACTATAGGCTAAGACCCCTTTCATCCACCCATACACTAGAAGTTTTAAACTATAGGCTAAGACCCCTTTCATCCCCCCATACACTAGAAGTTTTAAACTATAGGCTAAGACCCCTTTCATCCACCCATAGACTAGAAATGTTAAACTGTAGGCAAGGACCCCTTTCATCCACCCATACACTAGAAGTTTTAAACTTTAGGCTAAGACCCCTTTCATCCCCCCCCCTACACAGTTTAACCCGTGGCTGAAATCTTCCAGTTACCCTGGCATTCACCAGATGCTAGCCTCACTTTCAGTTCTAGGTTAAGTGTTAAATTATGTCTGTAATTTTTACGGCATACTTTCCACTCAGATATAAAAAAAAAATATCGCATTCTTGCGTTTTATGAGCCTGAGCTATAAGAAGCTTTAGAAGAAAATAATTATTTTTTTTAGAAAGGTAGATTACATTTCTCTGTCTCGATTCGATTCAGGTTAATCCATTTAATCTACTTCATACGGAAACAAAAGAGAATAAAATTGTATAATGGGACCAAATTAACATTACCCTTATTGGAACTAACGGCCATTGCATAATATCGACCGATTTGTATTGACCAAAACAGACCATTGCACAATATCGACCGATTTGTATTGACCAAAACAGACCATTGCACAATATCGACCGATTTGTATTGACCAAAACAGACCATTGCACAATATTGACCGATTTGTATTGACCAAAACAGACCATTGCACAATATCGACCGATTTGTATTGACCAAAACAGACCATTGCACAATATCGACCGATTTGTATTGACCAAAACAGACCATTGCACAATATCGACCGATTTGTATTGACCAAAACAGACCATTGCACAATATCGACCGATTTGTATTGACCAAAACAGACCATTGCACAATATCGACCGATTTGTATTGACCAAAACAGACCATTGCACAATATCGACCGATTTGTATTGACCAAAACAGACCATTGCACAATATCGACCGATTTGTATTGACCAAAACAGACCATTGCACAATATCGACCGATTTGTATTGACCAAAACAGACCATTGCACAATATCGACCGATTTGTATTGACCAAAACAGACCATTGCACAATATCGACCGAATTGTATTGACCAAAACAGACCATTGCACAATATCGACCGATTTGTATTGACCAAAACAGACCATTGCACAATATCGACCGATTTGTATTGACCAAAACAGACCATTGCACAATATCGACCGATTTGTATTGACCAAAACAGACCATTGCACAATATCGACCGATTTGTATTGACCAAAACAGACCATTGCACAATATCGACCGATTTGTATTGACCAAAACAGACCATTGCACAATATCAACCGATTTGTATTGACCAAAACAGACCATTGCACAATATTGACAGAGCTGAAGTAGCTCCAAGAGACCATTACACACCACCGACCAAACTGCACTGGCGCTAAACGACCATTGTACCCACCTGGGGCGCTAAACGACCATTGTACCCACCTGAGGTGCTAAACGACCATTGCACCCACCTGAGGTGCTAAACGACCATTGTACCCACCTGAGGTGCTAAACGACCATTGTACCCACCTGAGCCATTGTACCCACCTGAGGTGCTAAACGACCATTGTACCCACCTGAGGCGCTAAACGACCATTGTACCCACCTGAGGTGCTAAACGACCATTGTACCCACCTGAGGTGCTAAACGACCATTGTACCCACCTGAGGCGCTAAACGACCATTGTACCCACCTGAGCCATTGTACCCACCTGAGGTGCTAAACGACCATTGTACTACCTGAGGTGCTAAACGACCATTGTACCCACCTGAGGTGCTAAACGACCATTGTACCCACCTGAGGTGCTAAACGACCATTGTACCCACCTGAGGAGCTAAACGACCATTGTACCCACCTGAGGTGCTAAACGACCATTGTACCCACCTGAGGTGCTAAACGACCATTGTACCCACCTGAGCCATTGTACCCACCTGAGGTGCTAAACGACCATTGTACCCACCTGAGGTGCTAAACGACCATTGTACCTACCTGAGGCGCTAAACGACCATTGTACCCACCTGAGGTGCTAAACGACCATTGTACCCACCTGAGGTGCTAAACGACCATTGTACCCACCTGAGGTGCTAAACGACCATTGTACCCACCTGAGCCATTGTACCCACCTGAGGTGCTAAACGACCATTGTACCCAACCTGAGGTGCTAAACGACCATTGTACCCACCTGAGGAGCTAAACGACCATTGTACCCACCTGAGGTGCTAAACGACCATTGTACCCACCTGAGGTGCTAAACGACCATTGTACCCACCTGAGCCATTGTACCCACCTGAGGTGCTAAACGACCATTGTACCTACCTGAGGTGCTTAACGACCATTGTACCCACCTGAGGTGCTAAACGACCATTGTACCCACCTGAGGTGCTAAACGACCATTGTACCCACCTGAGGTGCTAAACGACCATTGTACCCACCTGAGGTGCTAAACGACCATTGTACCCACCTGAGGTGCTAAACGACCATTGTACCCACCTGAGGTGCTAAACGACCACTGTACCCACCTGAGGTGCTAAACGACCATTGTACCCACCTGAGGTGCTAAACGACCATTGTACCCACCTGAGGTGCTAAACGACCACTGTACCCACCTGAATGAGTTGATTGAACAGCTCATTGATTGATTTCTCCACCGCCGGTGCCTCCAACTGCTCAATGACAGGCAGCAGATTGCGCATGTACGGAAGTAGACTGTCCAGCATGGTAGGTACACACTCCCAGTTAGAGGCCAACTTGACCAGTATGTGTAGGGACCTCTCAGCCTCCTCGCTAGAAGATCTTTCTGTGAGAAAACAAGGGATTGATGTACGTCAGTCTATGTGAAACAAGGGATTGATGTAGTCTATGTGAAACAAGGGATTGATGTACGTCAGTTTATGTGAAACAAGGGATTGATTTAGTCTATGTGAAACAAGGGATTGATGTAGTCTATGTGAAACAAGGGATTGATGTACGTCAGTCTATGTGAAACAAGGGATTTATATACGTCAGTCTATATGAAACAAGGGATTGATTTACGTCAGTCTATGTGAAACAAGGGATTGATGTAGTCTATGTAAAACAAGGGATTGATGTACGTCAGTCTATGTGAAACAAGGGATTGATGTACATAAGTCTATGTGAACCAAGGGATTGATGTACGTCAGTCTATGTGAAACAAGGGATTGATGTACGTCAGTCTATGTGAAACAAGGGATTTATATACGTCAGTCTATATGAAACAAGGGATTGATTTACGTCAGTCTATGTGAAACAAGGGATTGATGTAGTCTATGTGAAACAAGGGATTGATGTACGTCAGTCTATGTGAAACAAGGGATTGATATACATCAGTCTATGTGAAACAAGGGATTGATTTACGTCAGTCTATGTAAAACAAGGGATTGATGTAGTCTATGTGAAACAAGGGATTGATGTACGCCAGTCTATGTGAAACAAGGGATTGATGTACGTCAGTCTATGTGAAACAAGGGATTGATGTACGTGAGTCTATGTGAAACAAGGGATTGATGTACGTGAGTCTATGTGAAACAAGGGATTGATGTACGTCAGTCTATGTGAAACAAGGGATTTATGTACGTCAGTCTATGTAAAACAAGGGATTGGTGTGCGTTAGTCTATGTAGAACAAGGGATTGATGTACATCAATGTAAAACAAGGGATTGATGTACGTCATTCTATGTGAAACAAGGGATCGATGTACGTCAGTCTATGTGAAACTAGGGCTTTGTATTAGGTCAGTCTATGGGATTGGTAAGATCTGTCTTTTAATCATGTATATGTGAGCTGTTTATAGAAGATTATTTATGTTTACATCTTTATTTTGCAATGACAAGAAAAAAAATGAAACAACAGGGTGTCAATGTGCACAACATGACATTCTCATTCTAGTGGTCAAACTTTGAAATAAAAAAATATGAGTAAAGAAATATCAAAGGTAGTGTTACACAACGTTGCCATATTCTTTAGTTATACACAGTAACACAATATAAAATGATTACCCCCAATACCCCAACTTGTTATTTACCATGTTATTTCGGGCAAACGGCCTTCGGGCAAGTAGCTTTCGGGCATTTGTCCATTCGGACAAGTGTCCATTCGTGTATTTGTCGCATTCGGGCAAGTGTCCATTCGGGAAATCGGCCTTCGGGCAAACGGCATTCGGGCAAGTGTCTTTCGGGAAAACGTCGGGCTCCCGTATCAATAACTGTTATAGGTAAAGTAGAGTGATGGAAATAATCAAGTTCAAAGACCGCTAACGGTTATCTTGCATTTTAATTTACTTTGTCTTTTACTAGTTAATCGAGGCAAGGTAGATGAAGTAGAGTTCAACTAAATCTGTGATACCTGGGTTTAAACATGTAAAGTTGAGAGATAGAGCGCTTGACCTCTACACAAATTTCGTCACTCAGCTTTTATTGGTACCTAGCATAGGCTTAATAAATAAAGCTGTAATAATGCAATTAAATTAACTAAAAACCAAATTGGCGTGTAGATATTGTACACCATGTTTTCCAGTCAGTTTTACCGTACAAGCCGATATTTCAGATGACCAAAACAAGAGAAATGTTGACTGACCAAAACAAGAGAAATGTTGACCGACCAAAACAAGAGAAATGTTGACCGACCAAAACAAAAGAAATGTTGACCTAACAAAACAAAAGAAATGTTGACCGACCAAAACAAGTGTTGACTGACCAAAACATGCCGATATTTCAGATGACCAATACAAGAGAAATGTTGACTTGAGACAGGCGGGAAATGCGCCGTGATCCGGTGACCATGTCACGTGGTCATGCCCCGTGTTTGTTTACTGAGGGTTGTCACGTGATTTCGGTGGGGATATTCTTGGATTGGGTATCTGGGGCATTGGATTATTGGTTATAGTGGCGCTTCTTGTATGGCCCTCCCTGCTGACCACTATCCACTGATAGGAAATTAGAGCAGATGGTCTGTGGACGGTCGATGGTCAGTGGACGGTCGATGGTCAGTGGACGGTCGATGGTCAGTAGACGGTCGATGGTCAGTAGACGGTCGATGGTCAGTGGACGGTCGATGGTCAGTGGACGGTCGATGGTCAGTAGACGGTCGATGGTCAGTAGACGGTCGATGGTCAGTAGACGGTCGATGGTCAGTGGACGGTCGATGGTCAGTAGACGGTCGATGGTCAGTAGACGGTCGATGGTCAGTGGACGGTCGATGGTCAGTGGAAGGTCAAATTTTAGTGGATGGTCGATGGTCACTAGAAGGCAGGTCAGTCAATGGTCAGTTATTGGTCGATAGTCAGTTGTTGGTCGATGGTCAGTTGTTGGTCGATGGTCAGTTGTCGGTCGATGGTCAGTTGTCGGTCGATGGTCAGTTGTCGGTCGATGGTCAGTTGTTGGTCGATGGTCTCTAGATGGCAAGTCAGTCGATGGTCAAGGTACGGTCAATATTCCAAATACGGTTCGTGTTCATTCTACGGTCTGGACGGTCGCTGGACGGTCGCTGGACGGTCGCTGGACACGATATTTACATCAGGCACAACAAAATTCTCGACGCAGAAGAAATAATTAGAGCAGTCAGGTGGTTAATTGAATGAATATCATTGGCTGGCACACGGCTGGGCAGAGATGGCGGTCAACATACAAGAGTACAAGAGAGATCCTGGCTACAATCAGAAACTTCATCAAGAGATCCTGGCTACAATCAGAAACTTCATCAACTTGTCTATGATCTCTGACACAGGCTATCGTCTCGTTTATAATAGTACATTTGTAAATCTCGCAACACAAACTATCAGCACTTGTCTGATCTCTGCTTACACTTACAGATATGTTTATTTGGACGGTAATGACAGATACGTTAGAAGACAATAATAGGTGAGTTTGGGAGACTCAAAGAAACACAAATTACAATCATTACGGCTGGTGCCTATGGAGTTATACTGAAATTTTTGTTTGAAATATTTACTTTCATGTTTGTGTCATGGACCAACTTAGGAGAACAGGTCAAATACAGAGGTATGGCGGGATTACTATGGCATTCTACTGAAGGGATGGTGATGGTGGTGGTGGTGATGATGATTATAATGATGATGGTGATGACTATAATGATGTTGATGGTGATGCTGCTGCTGTTAATGATAGTGGTTAAACTGATGATAATAACGAGGAGAAGGAACAGAAGGATAATGATGACCCATTCTCTAAATTTTCAATGTTTTAACCCAAGACTTTCGAAGCATTCAACGTCTACAAATTTCAAATTTAAATCGCTCAAACAGTTTTACATTTTTTACAGTTTTACTTTTCAGTTTATTCAAAGCAAAGCCATTGTGTTCTTGTCTATACGTGCAAAGAAACAACCTAACTATTGGGTGGGGGAGATTGATTGCATTCTTCTCTGGTAACAAAGTCTGGTACCAAGGAAAAAAAAATAGATCAACATAAGTTAGAGATGGTAGCTGGGTTTGTATGGAAAGTTGCACTAACAGTGTCTACAAGCTTTAGTGGCTGATGTTGTCTTTAGTGGCTGATGTTGTCTTTAGTGGCTGATGTTGTCTTTAGTGGCTGATGTTGTCTTTAGTGGCTGATGTTGTCTTTAGTGGCTGATGTTGTCTTTAGTGGCTGATGTTGTCTTTAGTGGCTGATGTTGTCTTTAGTGGCTGATGTTGTCTTTAGTGGCTGATGTTGTCTTTAGTGGCTGATGTTGTCTTTAGTGGCTGATGTTGTCTTTAGTGGCTGATGTTGTCTTTAGTGGCTGATGTTGTCTTTAGTGGCTGATGTTGTCTTTAGTGGCTGATGTTGTCTTTAGTGGCTGATGTTGTCTTTAGTGGCTGATGTTGTCTTTAGTGGCTGATGTTGTCTTTAGTGGCTGATGTTGTCTTTAGTGGCTGATGTTGTCTACTGAATGGATGGTATATATCACTAGAGGGAGGTGTCCAGGCTTTTATGTGTAGAAAAACAGACTCTAGAGCAGGGGTTCTTAACCTGTTCTCGATCGAACCCCAGGGGTTCTGTAAGTCAGCCTTATAACTACATCACTTAGATGATTTAAAAAAAAAAGAAAAAACTGCCTAATTAATGACTTACTAGCCTTTGTAAATGAGTTTTTTTTAGTCAACTTTGAAATAAGATTTTATTTTAGTAACAAGGTCATACTACATTTAAAAAGTATGTAAATTTAAAGTATCCTTTCGATGGGGCAGATGAAGTAGAGTTGACTGTTTCTGTGGCCTCGACATAAGAAGGGATAATAAGATCAGCGCTATGCCCAGCCGCCTTTACTTAACATCTGAGTTAGGTGGACTCAGGGACATCTTATAGACTTAAGCCCTAGACTTTCGGGATAGCAGTCGTATTCCCTACCGCCCGACCACACTGTTTTATCAACAACTGATAACGTCACGTCACTCACGACAGCGATGTTCACTCACGACAGCGATGTTCACTCACGACAGCGATGTTCACTCACGTCAACAAAAGACGGTCACAGATGACTTCGGACTACAAACATCAAGTACTCAAAGGTAACGTGCGTGTCACGTGAGCCAGGTCTATTGGGGAGGGTGTGCATGCTTAGTTGTACTCAGCCTTTTATCTGCTGAGTCGGTGAGCGTAAGCTGACGTGAGTTTTAGTTCACGTGAGCTTTAGCTCACGCATAAACCGTTCAGTACAATAGAAGAACAGTCTGGATGTCTACGTTTATATATATATATATATATATATATATATATATATATATATATATACAAAGACATAAAAAATTGTTATATACACATAGGCCTACACATACATATA